AGAGAGAGAGAGAGAGAGAGAGAGAGAGAGAGAGAGAGAGAGAGCGAAAGAGAGAAGAAAGGAAAGGATACCACAAGGGTGAAGCCGGTGACGGTGGCCCAGGAGTTGGCGAGGTTAGAGCCGGCGAGCTCGAGATTGCCCAGGTGGCCGGCGAACATGACGGAGACGAGCGGGATGCAGTAATACGCCACGTTCGTCAAAATCATGGGCACCGAGAACACCACCTGATGCTTCGCCTCCTCCACAGCCTCGCTCATTCGCCATCTCTCCCACGCTCCTCCTCCGTCCCTCCCCTCCAGCAGCGGCGCTGTCGAAAGCATCTCTCCGCCCTCTCTCTTTCTGCACTGCAGCTATGGATTGACAAGATCTAGAACCACCAGGTTTATATATCACGAGGGAAGACGAGACAGGCACCACCGTTCCGGCGTTAATTACATTCATCCTACAAACTAAGATCATGGCGTAATCATCATCACATTTAAGTCTCCCTTTCCCCGTTTCTAGCTGTAGAGCGAGAGAGAGCGAAGAAAGAGGGAGAGAGAGTACTGAAGGCATCAACTTTGGGTGTAATCTCTCTCTCTCTCTCTCTCTCTCTCTCTCATTTTTGTGAAAGGGCCGGGCCGGCGCCAATGGTAATCGAGTTCGGCCCGAACTCGGTTCATCAGTCAAACCACCATTATTCATTCCGGACGCAAAAAATTGCAAAGCCCCGCCCGAGCATCTCCAGCATGGCTCCAGGTCCGCATAGAAATCGGGCCCGGCCCGGACGGTCGACGTAGATCATAAATTGGCACGTGAGAAAGAAGCAGGATGGAGGATAATATGTAGAAGCCCATATCTCAAGTGGGATAAGGGAGGAGACAGAAGTCAACGAGTGGTTGTGGTTATGCCAGAGACGAGCTAGTGTGAATAAAGCCGGCGGCGGCCCGCTGGCGGCAGCACGGCACGTGGGGTAGGTAGGCGAGATCTGGCGAGTGGTGGGGATTGAGAGAAGAGAAAAGAGACAAAAAGATAGAGAAAGTAATTAGAACTAACGTCATTCACCATGTGACGTTAGCTATGTCCAAAAGGTCAAGTTACCGAATGAATAAGGCCAGTGGGCGCGCAAATGAGAGCCTATTCAAGGGGTGGATGGGACCCACCGCCTACATTGACCTCTCTCCCACTCGCCCCTTTCTCTCTGCTAATTATAAAATATCTAAAATATATACTTTAGAACATTAAATTTAATTATGAACATAGGGAAGTATTTATAAGCAATTGTAGTACTAAACGTGAAATACAATTTTATTCTTTAAAATACTCACAATCATGAATTGTTATGAAGAATTTATCAATTCTCATGGTGAATATTATGAATATCGGGATAGAACAATTCACATGTAATATAAACTTTTTATCAAATTCTTAATAAACGTATTATGTCATAGTCTTCTAACACTAGGTTGATAGCCCAGGGATAATCCTATTTTTTTTAATATACTTCTAGTCACGCCCTCCTAAATACCCAAATTTAGTTGTATTCTGCAATGCTTGTAACATTAATAGAAAAATCTATAAAATGCAGCACCCCAATAGTTAGTTGCACACTCCTAGTTAGTTTGCAATACTAAAGTACTGACTATGATCTATTTTGTCCTATATTGCTGCACCAACCCTAAAGAAGTGCTGCACCATAATAGCCCTCTTACCAAGTCAGTCAAAGCATGGGTCTACTCACTTTTTATAAGGAAATAAAAACACAAACCTTAGAAACGAAAAATATTTAAACCTTAAAGGGCTTTCTCATAAGGTTAAAATACAGTTTGGGTAATACATTAAAGGTTCAGCTGAAGATATAGGTACTTTTGTTATGTACAGATTTTATTTTATCCTTGTGTATGTTTTGTTCATAATGAGTTGAGCTCTTGTCTTGTCAAGTCAATAAGTTGATTTCCTTCTTTTGAGTGATAACCTTGCCACACTGAGCATTGATGCTCCTATCTACTATTTTAGTTGACTCACTTTCTCAACCACTAGGAGTGTTGTGACTTCTTCACACAAGGTGAGTTGACAAACTTCCTTTATGTGATAACTTAGTCATTAACTCTTAAAGCTTCTTCTCTCTTCTAGATTTTCAATTAAAAGGATTTATTTTTCCTGAAGTTGACTTTCATGATGGTCATATGATTTTTGACATCTATTCTCTTCATTTGAGGCCTAGAAAATTTATTTAAATGACAACCAAATCTTGAGCTAAATATTTCGATCTTGATTTTGATATTAGTGTATTTCAAAATATTACATGATAATTAGATGGTTAAATTGCTGTGATCAATTTGTTAACATTAAAATCATTAAAGCAAGAAACGTTTACCCACCCACTAAACAATATCCACATTTAACAAGTCCAATTATTGGCTTTTGACCAATCATTATACATATATGTCAACTTAAGACTCTCTAAGTATTTTGATTTTCTAACATGTCAAGACATTACAAACGATAAGAGATTCTTTGATGCTTGTTAGCGTGGTCTAAGATGTACGATGTGCTTGTCATAGTAAATTAGGTTGTAGTTCTACTGCACACAAACCTGATCAGCCCTTATATTATTCACCATTAAATTATAACTCATTTTCACTAAGGTTATAGTTAATAGAATTATAAGTCATAATTTTATGCAAATTACTATCAAGTTTAACTGCCCCACCCTCTAGATTGCATTAGCCTTATGAGGTCATTCATTAACATTTGTAGCTTGATACACTTTGTGATTTTGTGACATATTTTCTCATGGACTATCTATATTGTCGTGTAAGGTACTTCCTTGTGGTTGAATGTGAGACTTTATTCATTTTTTGATCTGCAATGTAACTTCTCATGTAGTAATACATGAAACCTGATATATTTTATTATTTAATTAACAAAATTCTTACATAGTGATAAATGACGTTAGTTATACTCAACTCATCTACAGCACAAATTCTCATGTATTAATATATCAAGCTTGATATATAATCCATTACCCCACAATATAGTTTCTCACTATTTTCATATGAAACTTGTACTTCTACATCATGGGATTTCTGTGTACTTAGATATGATGATTGATGTATTGAACTATTTTGTAATGTAATTCCTAATATATTTAAAGATAAAGTGATATATTACACTATTTTTAATGTAAATTCTGATACATTGAAAGATGAAGCTTGATGTATAACAGTATTAATGTATAAGCCTTTTCTCCCTTTCTATCTTTACTTGAATGTACCTTTAACTCACCATAGATATTTACTTAAAAGAAAAGCTGTCAAAAATATTTTTCATTGATCTCAAATTTACGTGAGACATTTTTAGAGGTTTAGGGAAACTTTTCATTAAATATGACATCAATAACACTTGTTTGAAATGATACCCTTGCCATTATAGCCTTTTGTTAGCTTTATGCCCACTAGAAAACTCAAGGTATTCTCAAACTAAAGTGTTGATGCAGTTCACAATTTTGCAATAAGTGCATTTTATTTAACATCATAAAAATATTACATTTAAGAAAAAAAACACCCGCCCTAAAGGATGTGAACTTAGAGATGTAGTTGATGGAGACTATCTCTTGTTGAGGTAGAGAATATTCTTTGGTTGCTACAGAACTATTGGAAATTCAATTGAGCATCTTTCTTGAAAGTGCAAGTAGACAGTAGACCTTTATATCTACTTGGCTCTCAACACTCATATAGATTGTGTGGATGGGTAGGTAGTTGTTGTGGCTCTCTCTCTCTCTCTCTCTCTCTCTCTCTCTCTCTCTCTCTCTCTCTCTCTCTCTCTTTCTCTTTTCTAGAATTTGGGAGGATGTTCTATATTTAGAAATTTTGTTTCTCCTAAAGTATCAATAGCTTGTAAACTAATGGTTATTATTCTAATCACAACTATAAAATGGAAATTAAAAGTATGTGTTAATATCTTGAAATCCATATCTGTTTGAAATTTCTGGATTTCATGGCACTACTTTTTGCATTGTCTTCATCCTCAAAAGTTCTAATGACTCTAGGTGCTTGAATATGTGACAAAATTTAATGTCAATAAATATGTGACTTATTGGATGTCAATCTACATACTAAATCTGTGGATAAAGGGACCTTCATTTGAATCCATAAGTTCATCATTAACCAAATTTAGTAACATATAAGATAGTCGTGAAGTCTATTGTTGAATTAAACACACACAATGCTTAGCCAATTTAAAGCTTCCCTATCATCTAACCATGTGTGGAAATTTAAACACTAGAAGCTCTAGTGATTAAAGCATGAATTTACATTTGATAAATACTTCAAAAATAATTGTCTCATTTTGACGTACCACACTTTTAATCTTATCATCATCAAAACCAATAGTTCTGAACCCTCTCTCTCATTAATAGATTCTTCAAATTAAGGTTGGCCTCTCTTTGACATATATATATATATAGATAGTATATATATATATATATATATCGAGAGAGAAACCAAGAGAGAACTATCTATATAAAAGTATTTCAGAGATAAATGTACAGAATCACTATTATTCGTCAAGTGTACAAAGATATATATGTATAACATATAATTAGTAACCATTTTACTGATATCTGGATATCTTCATACACTCCTATAGTGTTGATTTTAATGAATGATTGTTGGTTTTGATGGAGCAGTCTTTCCAAACAGAATCACTATTATTCGTCAAGTACAGAAGAGGGAAGAAGATGATCAACTACACGATCTACAGTTTCAAGAAAAATAATAACCGTGCTCTTTATTCATCAAGGAAAATGATAAGCCCTATGACATCCATTGCACAGAAAAATAAGGACATTAACACCTAAGAAATTAATAGAAAGCTCATATACTATGCATATTGGTTTCAATAATGGATATCACTCAATTAGTGACCTGACTACGACCCTCAATATTGCCCTATTGATATTATTAAAAGCCAAAGTGCCTCTTCTATGCTCTTGATCATACTAGCAAAGGTTTTTCTTTGTCCACGGACAGGTGTATGGTTGACCAATTAGTGCGCAGCGTGATGATGAGGAGGGTGCAAGCTTGGCAAAACAAGCCACAGATCAAGCCCATCCAGAGTCCCTGCATGAGACGTGCCCAAAGTAAATGTCAATTCCTTCAATAATCTGGTTGTAATTGGCTCACATTACTGAATGAAACACTACATGTGTATCTCTAAACCAAGGGAAAATAAAAAGATATTGAATGTAAACTATTAGTAATCCTTGGAACGTGTAGTACTCTAATGGCACCTTAAGAATCACTATACTAGATAGGTTGTTAATGTATGAAGACTATGTCCACGGCCTTATAAAAATAGCTATAAATCACAGGTTTCAGCCATAAAAAATGAATTGTCAACCATATGTTGTTAAAACTAGTTTTAAGATCTCAAAATACACCTAAGATTACCAACCTTGTAATAGAACTTTAGGACAAACCCAAGAAGAAGTGCAATTGGCATCCCAATCACATAGAATGCTCCCAGGTTGGTCCACGCTGCTAGATGTTGCCAACCACATCCTCTTGCTACACCTGAATCAATTATTCACATGATTAGCAAGATATTAAAAATCAGTACTATCTATGGATCTTTTTTCCTATGGTAGTCACCTGATAGAATCCCCTGTGCCGAGTCTAGTAGTATGGAAAGTGATAGTAGCGGGGTCATGTAGGCAAACTCCCTAATAATATCTGGGCTACTACTGAACAAGTTAGCCCATATATTGTGACCAAAGACCAAAAAAAGGACAATTGTCAATGCAAGAATTACTGAGAGCTTCAATGTCACCCTAACTGCATTCTTTGCCTTTTCCACATTTCCTGCCCCCAATTCATTTGCCACACGTGTGCTACAAAAGGGGAAAAAAATAAATTAGAATCATAATTATGAATATAATTTATATTCATAATTATGAACAAGTGACTATGCGTACCTCACAGCAGCACTAAACCCATAGGTAACATTGAATGACACAGCCTCTGTGTTAACACTGAAATCCACCAAAATATCAAGTTAATATTTATGCTCTAGTTATTAAGAATTTTTATGATCTGATTTGATTGCTAAAAATGGGCATACCAAATTGCAATTAGTGAGGTGCTCAATTCTGAACGGGGCATCAGACCAGCCAATAACACAAGAAGTTCAAAAGCCCAGTATTCCAAGCTGCAAGAGTAATATCACTCGTCAAACAAAATTATATTCCTCTATTACTAAGGATAATTTCTTCGAGAAACACCAATAATAACTTGTGGTTCATTGAATTTCACACATCAAAAACTTACTAATAAATGTATGTTTCGTTCGTTTTTTAAAAGAAATAATGAAAAAAAGGAAAAACCTCAAAGATATTGGTGGGTCTAAACCGGTTACAACTGTTGAAGCGGCTGACAATTTAGGCTAAAATTGTTCTATTTGGCATCGTATAAAAGTTGAAACAATGGCTAAATAAGTTTTTATATTTTCAGGCCAGAGTTGTGCATTGAATACGGACAAAGTGAAATATTGAAGAACCATAGAAGCTATAAATTGGAAAATCCTGAGACAATTCACCGGCTAGATCGGAAAGGAGATTGTATCTTCTTCGGCTAAATCACTGGTTTGTCGAACGTTTAAAACAAATTCCGGAAGGCAACATGCGTGTGTGTGTGCTCGAGCGGAGTGGGAAGGAGCATACCAGACCATAACAGCTGACGGGATGGCCAACCGCATACTGGGAAGGACGTGCTCGAACGCCTCGGTCGAGAAGCCCTGCCAGGTCTCTGAGAATCTCTTCGAGTACTTCACATACGAGGCCAGCATCAGGAACGAAATCCACAGCGACACCGCCGCCGCCAAGGGGGCGCCGACGAACCCCATCCCTGCCGGGTGAACCAGCACGTAGGTGATCAGTACGTGCAGTGCCAGCGGCCCCACAGAGCACACGACGAGCGGCGCCACCGCGGACTGCGTCTGCAGGAACCTCAGCAGGCACTGGAGCAGCCCGTAAGCGAAGAGCGCCGGGATGAGCGGTCGCATGTACACGGCGGCGGCGTGCGCCACCGCCGGCTCCTGGCGGAGGGCGATGAGGATGGACTCCGAGAACCACCAGACGACGGCGAGGATGCAGGAGACGGCGATGGCGGTGATCATCGACGCCTGCAGGTAGATGCCCATCGTCCGGTACAGCTTGGCGCCGTAGGCCTGCCCGCAGAGCGTTTCCAGTGCCCCGCTCAGCCCGATCTGGATGGCAGCTTTCGTAAGTAAGTCGCCATTTTTTAAGAACGACCAGGTATAAGAAGAAGGAGAAAAATGGCAATTTCGTTGAGCGTCCCCAGCCCCCGTCCCTACTGCTCAGCCCAATCAGGATGGCAATTTGCGTAAATACGTGGACATTTTGTTTGACGGAGGAAAAAGTTTTTGCGAACGTGTTTAACTTCAGTGATGAAGAACCGGCCCGGCCAGTAAGAGTGGGCCCGTTTCTAATCCCACGTGTTCATAGGGTTAGAGAGATGACAAGATGAATCGCACGGATGAGAGGGAGTGATTATAGAGAGAAGGGGGAAGTGATGAGGGATGGATCTTGGTGGGATGAAGTAAAAATAGTCGCAGATTAGAGAGAGAGAGAGAGACATGACGAGGCAACAGACACGGATTAGGAGAGGGAGAGAGAGAGATTGACAGGCATCGTTGGGTTAGAGAGATGGCGAGATGAAGTGCAGGGATGAGAGGGAGGGAGTGATTCTAGAGAGAAAGGGGGGAGAAATGAGGAACGAATCTTAGAGGTATGAGGGAACAACAGTCGCAAATGAGAGAGACAGAGAGAGAAATTGGACCGCTAGAGATTTGACGAGATAACACGCACAGATTAGGAGGGGGCGAGAGTGAGAGAGATCATAGGGTTAGATAGATGACGAGATGAAGAGCACGGATGGGAGGGAATGATTCGACGGAGAAGATGGGAGTGATGACGGATGGATCTTAGAGGGATGAACGAACAACAGTTGCAGATGAGAGAGAGAGAGAGAGAGAGAGAGAGAGAGAGATCGTCGAGCTATAGACATGACGAGATAAACCACACGGATTAGGAGGGGGCGAGAGAGAGAGAGAGAGATCGCAGGGGGGGAGAGATGACGAGATGAAGCCCACGGATGAGAGGAAGTAACTGATTCTAGAGAGAAGGTGGGATGAATGAGGGATCGATCTTAGTGAGATGAAGGAACAAGAGTCGCAAATTAGAGAGAGATCGACAGGTCGAGAGAGAGAGAGAGAGAGAAAGGAGAGGATACCACGAGGGTAAAGCCGGTGACGGTGGCCCAGGAGTTGGCGAGGGTGGATCCAGCGAGCTCGAGATTGCCCAGGTGGCCGGCGAACATTACGGAGACGAGCGGGATGCAGTAATACGCCACGTTCGTCAAAATCATCGGCACCGAGAACACCACCTGATGCTTCGCCTCCGCCGCCTCGCTCCTCCCCCATCTCTCCCACACCCCTCCTCCCTCCTCCCCCTCCAGCAGCGGAGTCGTCGAAACCATCTCTCCCCCTACTCTCTCTCTCTCTAACTCTTCCCCCCTTCTCTCTCTCTCTACATCGGCTATCGATTGAGAAGACCGGGAACAAGCGATCGTATATATAGAATGGGTCGCGGTGGTGGTGACGTGGCAAGAGGAGAGACCCTTGTTGGGGACGCGTGCGGCGGAGGGAATGCGCAGGCAATTTGGACGTATGGCCATAAATTGGAGCGTGGAAAAACGGAATGGACATCAACACGACACTTGTACTGAGAGGACCAATCCTAGCGGCTGCGCGAATACGCACGTGAATCGCTACGCGAATGCTCGAGACGGAAAGCACTTTCCCTCTCCTCCCTTCCTCTCTAGACTCCGGGGAGAGATGTAGCCTAGAGAGAGAGAGATGAAAGCATAAAGAAGAAGAAGACGAAGAAGACGAGAGAAGAGTGTTCGTGTGTGAGGAGAGGGAACGGTAGAGAGAGAGAGAGAGAGAGAGAGAGAGAGAGAGAGACGAAGGCATTCCCCAAGTGGAGGGGAACAACAGATAAACCATTGAGGCAGCGCTTGCTACCAGCGTTGACCTCTGACACAACCCTCTCTCTCTCTCTCTCTCTCTCTCTCTCTCTCTCTCTCTGTGCAAAGTATGCCAAAAACTCATTATTATCTTAATATTAGGGAAATTAAACGATTTTAATCATATAAATATATTATCCCTGGGAAAAATCCTGGAAAAGATTAAATGTTTATCGATTTTATGGTATTATTAAGAAATAAATAGTTTTAAAATACTCAAATATCCATTTTTTTCAAGAATCCATCATTTCCAACGTAAATATTAAAAATATGCTCAAGTACTAATCAGTATGTAATAATAAATAAATATATTATGTTATATTATATATTATGTCACCGTCTTCTCTCCCCAGCGCAGGCAGCGGAGAATCGGGTGGCAGAGCTACCTGATTTTTATATAGTTTTTAGCTTTACGTCCTCACAGCATTTAAAACCGGCACGTGGGACTGGTTCAGCCCGATGCACGTGGCTGATCAGAGGTTGGCGCATCCGGCTGCAGCGCGGCTCACACGGCGACCAGCTGCCTATGCAACGCTATAAGAGAGATTCGAAACGTGATGCATACCTGTAGGCACATGTGAGTTGTCGGGCGAGAGCCAGGAGAAGAGATACTATCTAGAGAGTGGGTGAAATTTCTACGAATGGGGAGATACATATTAGATAATATAGAGAGAGAGGGTGAGATTTCTACAAATGGTAATATACATTAAATATAATATTTATAGAGAGGGAAGGACGAGATTTCCTATTCAATCTTCCATGAAAATGCGTAGATAGTTACTAAGAGAGAGAGAAAGAGGTACATTAGAGACATACTTAAACATTTGAACTTCGAATGAGTTTTCAAGTTGACAAAAAAAAACAAAATAACAAAAGACATTAGCATATAATATATTAGGGTTAATATTTAAGTATATAAGATTTTTTATTGTTAAAAATTCATAGTAGAAAAGTAGCAATATTTTAGTAAATAAATTTAAATTTATATGATATGAACAACAAAACTGATTCATAAGAAATATATTAATGAGTAATATTTGAGTTTAGCGTATTATATTGCACTGTAGCCTTTTGTCTAAATCAAAATCTTTTTGTATATGAGGAGCTTACATTGCAAAACAAATACATTAGTATATCGGAACACCAAACTATATCAGGCATAATATTTTATCATATCAAACTTAATACATCACGGAATATTTAGTATATTAAGCTTAATATGATGATACATGAAGTGCTGAATTGTAGAAGAAGGGATCATACCAAGCTTAATGTGGTGATAGAAGAGGAGTTGTAATAGAGAGAGAATAGGGGACCAGATCAAGCTTAATACAATAATATAATGGGGACTGTGTAACCAAACAAGGGATCATATCAATCTTAATCTGTCAATACAGGAGTTGTGTTGAAGAACAAAGGACCACATCAAGCTTAATATGAGAATACAAGGCAGTTGTGATATAGAACAAAGGACCATATTAAGCTTAATATACCAAGAAATGAGAAATTATGTTGTAGAGTTATGTTTCAACACAACAATGAATATGATGTTTATGTATAATGAGTAATATTCTGCAGTAGTAGAGCAGATCAAGTTTAATATCTCATTATTTGGAAATCATATCATAAAATTCAGGGAGTAATATATAAGTAACAATGTATATTTAACATAATATTTGGTCCATAATGATTATTATGAAGCACAATCTCTTATTATTTTAAATTGTCTTTATGATATAAGTTATTATGTGAAGTCAACTACTTCAGTACATTAAGCATTTTTGAAGATACAATAGGCATTTTAACATTTCTATTCATGGTCTCGAATCATGCAGTAGTTTGGGATCAATCCCATACATATTAAAAAAGGAGTATAAAGCAATGTCAAAGCTAAAAAGAAAAACTAGATTAAGTAAGGGAATAAAAACTATCTATTTGATGTATGTTGGTTACCTCTAGCAACAAAAAATGTGGCCCTACTGATTGCTTAATAATAAGTGAAGTAGAGTAAGCTTTAAACAAGTAAGAGAAAATTTAAAACTCAAAAATATAAGAGAAGAAAGGCTAACAAGTGAAAAAGTAAATAAATAAAATATCTTTTTGGGTATATGACCACTCTTAGACCAAGATGGGAGGGGATTGAATAGGTCAGTTAAGATTGATTTAATCTTCTCATCTTTTAGTTGCTTGATGTTTTCTAATTCTTCAACGGATTAATTATAGATGATGGGAAACTTTATAGCAGTTTTCTATCATTGACGTACTTCACTATCTAAGAACACTTTGTCCTTTAATAGTTTCACTGACCACTTAGTCTTTGACTGCTAATTAATGGGTTCACCTCTAAAATATGTTTAGCAGAAACTCTTTCTAGATTTATGATTCTTTGATGCTCGATGGATAAAACAAAAATCAACTCCTTTAAGTTATAATACTGAAAAGAATGTTCATTGATGAGTTCAGAAAATTTGATTGATTGTTCTTGATTTCTTGGTTCTTTTCTCATGTTAGATCACATTAAATGATGATGATGATGACTTCTCTCTGATCTCCAAGTTGAATAAAACACTTTCCAGTCCCAACTTCTCTTATTTGTAGTCACAACTTCAGCTTTACATTTTAGTCAAACTAGTTCTCATTGAATCCTAAAAAATATAACTAGGAAGGTGTAGGAAAATAGGGACTCATGCCGATTTAAAATGGGTGATAAAAGCTGATTTATAGATGTAATTTTGACCTAGTCTTTCTTTGTTGTCTGTCTACTTAACATTAACCTTCTAATCTAGGAAAATTTACTGGAAATATCCAATACAATACCCCATTTAAGCCTTTTGTATGCTTTTTATGTTTAAAACAGATAAAAAAACATTTGAGTTGCAACTTCTATATCCAATGATAATGGATATATCAACCCCAAAACTATATCTAATAAACATAAAGATAATTGAAGAATGTTCAATGAAATAAACTAATTCCTGATGTTCTTAATTTCTATCATCATAAATAAAACTTTATTAATAATAAGTAGTCCAATATTGATGGTTCTTTATTTTTGTCGGTTATATATTTCAAATGTTTAGTCATTATGTTGAATATCTTCATTAAATGATTATCGCATTATTACTAAGGGTCAAATGTAAGGCTTCATTCCTTCAAATTAAGTGATTTTCTATCCATGGATTAGTCAAAGACAAAAGGTTATCATATGAAGAAACATCTAGAAATCAAAGGTTAAATATATGGTTATATGGTATCAATGAATATAATCCGTGCAAAATATTTCACCTTTGATTAGACTAAATATATTATGCAATGCTTTTCATTTTGAAGTAATGTTAGGTAGGTTCCCTAAAAGATCAAGTTCATTAAATAAAAAAGAAAATAAGAAAATCATTAGATATTAAAATTTTAAAAATAACATCTCAATGGTGACATGTTAGTTGCTTACATGGACAAAAAGGAAAGAAAAACTTAATGATTTAGATTTGATGTAGACATTCAAATATTCTTCTAATTGAAAGGATTAAGATTAAATGGATATTTGATAGAGAAGAATTTGACATATGGATGTTAGAACAATTAAGGGGCTGTTAAAATTTGACATATAGAAGATTACCAAAAAAGTTTTAACATAAAAAATTCTATGTATGAGAGTTCCATTAGTGGAAAATAAAAAGTACATTTCCTCAGCTAACTCACTTGATCTACTTATATTTCTTTGGTCCAACTAAAATTTTTAGCTTACAAGGAAATATTATGTTCTAGTTATATTGATGATTACTCTAGATACACTTGTACATTTTTTTTAATTCATAAGAATGAGTCATTAGACTACTTTACAAAATTTTAAAGAAAATTCAATAGGAACTTGGTAAAATAATGAAAAATATTAGGAATAATTATAGAATCAAATTCAAAAATGTTGAATTCTATAAATTCTATGATGAATTAATTTTTTTCATAACTTATCAACTCCAAAACTCCTCAAAAAACCAGGGTTGTTGAAGGAAAAAATAGGGTATTAATAGACATCTCAAGAATGATGCTAGCTGAAAGTAATATTTTAAAGTATTTTTTCAAGTGATGTAATCATCATATCACATTGTGATCAATAGAGCTTTGATCTGATTTAGGTTAGAGAAAACATCTTATGAATTATTAATAGGAATAAAAAATTAGATTCTTTCAAATCATTATGAGGTATGTACTTTATTATAGCTAATGGGAGAGAAGAAAGAGAAAAGTATGTGCAAATGATTGACAAAGGAATCTTCCTTGGCTATTCTGAAAAGTTAAAAGTATATAGAACCTATAATAAAAGAACTTTAGTTGTTGAAGAATCTATTCATATGAAATTTGTAGAATAACCTACATCATAAATTATCAATTCAAATGCAATTGAAATAATGAATCACTAGATATGATAGAGAATGAGGATCAAGAGTGTGAAGAAATGGCATGGCTATATATTAACCCTAGTAATTATAACTTGTCTAGGACTTGAAAATATATAAAGCTTCATTGAAAACAAAATTTCTTAGGTTGTGTGATTGGAAAATGTTGACTTAGTGTTTACTTCTCAAATTGAACCTAAAAATGTAGACGATGTGCTCACAAATACAAATTTGATGTATAATATGCATGAAGAATAGAACAATTTGAGATAAATTACTTCTCTCTCTCTAGATCTCTTTCTATAGTGGATATCTGTTGCAAAGACATGGAACCATTTATATATATATCATATGGTTCATGATGTACCAGACGGTGGTGACATGGTAAAAAGAGAGTCTCCTGTTGAGGGCACCACTGTGTGGTGAGGGGTTGATGCACATCATTTGGCCGTAATTCCAAAATTTTCTATTAGGAAAGTAACAAGGGGTGGAGAATACGCAGAAAATCATACAATATGTGTGAAAGGGGCCAATGTGGCTCAAACAAATACACAAATGTAGTGGGTACCCGAGACCCCCAATGTCAATGAATGCTTGAGATAGAAAGCTCTTTCCCTCTCTCTCTCTCTCTCTCTCTCTCTGGAGTTCAGCGAGAGATAGGGATTGGGACAGACAGAGAGAGAGACAGGAATTCATTCCTTATGAATGGAAATAGATGAACCATTGTAGTCCTCACTACCAATGTTAACCTCTATTACAACCCCAACCCCCCCTCCCCCCTCCCCCGCCGTGTCTTTCTTCCTCTTGCTCTCTCTCTCTCTACATGAAATAAGCCAAAAAAAGATAATTATCTTACTAATAGAGAAATTAAATATCTTTAATTATATAAATATATAATCCTAGGTCAAAATATTGGAAAACTGATAATTATCAGTTTTTCTGTTGATAATAGGAAATAAATCATTTATAAAATGGTTGAATATTCAATTTTTTTAAGAATCCATCATTTTCAACATAAATAAAAATGGTTGAATATTCAATAAAATGGTTGAAATATGCTAACTACATATCAGTATGTGATAAAAAATAAATATATACGTTTTTTAGTTTTACGTCCTTCACAATATTTAAATTCAAGAGTATGCCGAGATTCTCCCATTATTGCCCCCCCTTCCCCTGCTCGTTAAAACCGACATTGTGGCACGTGTGAATAGTTGGAGGCCGGTGAATACGACTGATTAGAGGTCGGTGCGTCCACCTGCAGCGCGGCTCGCGTGGCTACCAGCTGCCAACGAAACGCGACAAGAGAGAGAGAGAGAGAGAGAGAGAGAGAGAGAGGAGAGAGAGAGAGACGGACAGACGGACAGAGAGACTGACACACAGACAGAAAGTTCCAAGAGTCAGCTGGAATTGGCTCTATCTATTGCTTTCAATGTCTTCGTCTGGAAACAGATAGCGGGACGTTGACGGATGAATAGGCGATCTGATATGGTGAGGTTGAATAGATCAGGGAGCGAGAGGGAGAGAGAGAGAGAGAGAGAGGGGCAGCTCCACTATGTGACAGACATTTCCTGCACGTGAGAAACGGTGGTGATCGGTAGCTGGAGAGAAGAGAGAGAGAGACAAAGACCTCCACGGTGACAACCAAAACGGTGGTGTTCGGCAGCGGAAGAGAGAGAAATGAGTGATTCAACGGATTACACAAATGGCCAGACTAACTGGGATATAGAAAGAGAGAGACAGAGACAGAGAGACAGAGAGAGAGGGTGAGAGGATGGATATTTCTGCAAATGGGGAGATATGTATGTGATATAGAGAGAAGGTGGGAGGAAAGTTCCCACTATATCTTCCATGAAAATACGTACATGGTCACATACACAGAGAGAGACAGAGAGAGGTGCATGAGAAGATATACCTAAGCTTTTAAACTTTGGATGAGTTTTCAAGCTCACAAAAAACATAAAATAACAAGAAAATGTATGTATTATATTAGGGTCAATATTTAAATATACAAGAATTTGGTATGATAAAAAAATTCCCTTTCTTTATAAGGCTCAATAGTAAAGAAGATCCCTTTGAGAGCAGGAGAGAACACAAAGTGAAGGCCACTTTGGTGCCAATCTACCCAAGTCAACGTCCCTTTCTTTGTTCCACATGAGCCACCTGAGTCTTTCCTTTCCCCAAACTCAAGGAGGTATTATCCAACATGAGAGCCCTCATCATAAGTTTGTAGTTCCTTCCCTTCTTTCTCTCTCTTTATCTCATTCACTCCGAGGAAAGTGAGAAAAATTGTGTTCATCCTCAAAAGTTCCATTGACTATGGGTGCCTGCATATGTGAGAAAATTTGATGTCTATAAATGTGTGATTTACTTTATGTCAATTTATATACTAAATCAGGGGAGAAAGAGACCTTCATTTAAATCCATAAATTGATCATTAACGAAAGTTAACAAATAAGACAGTTGTGAAGTCATCTTTCTATTGACAATAAATCTCACTTATAAATTTACACTATTGTAGAATTAAATGTACACAATGCTTAGCCAATATAAAACTTGCCAATTAAAACCTTTAACCATGTGTAGAAAATTAAGTACTAAAAGCTCTAGCAATTAAAACATGAGTTTACCTTTGATAGACACTTCAAAAATCATTTCATGTATGATTTTGGCTTACTACACTTTTAATCTTATTATCATCATAACTAGTAGTTCTGAACCCTCTCTCATGAATAGATTCTTCAAATTATGGTTGGACTCTCTTTGAGATATATATATATATTGAGAGAGAGAGAGAGAACTATTTATGTTAAGATATTTCAAAGATAAATGGACAGAAAAATATAAAGATATATATATATATATAACATATAATTAGTAACCATTTTACTCATGTCTACATAGACTCATATCTTTCTATTCATATAGAAATATATATATATATATATAACAGAAACTACGCAGATTATCATGTAAGAAGTTATTAAAAAACTCAAGGTTCCTCCTACAAGGTACATGTAATTTGAATTATGGACTTCAAATTTGTGACCTGATTATGATCCTCAATATTGGCCTATTGATATTATTGTAAGCCAAATCACCTCTTCTATGGTCTTGATCATACAACCAAAGATTCTTCTTTGTCCACAGACAGGCGTATGGTTGCCCAATTTGTCCACAGCATGATGATGAGGGTGCAAGCTTGGCAAAACAAGCCAAAGGTCAAGCCCATCCAGAGTCCCTGCATGAGACGTGCCCAAAGTAAATGTCAATTCCTTCAATAATCTGGTTGTAATTGGCTCACATTACTGAATGAAACACTACATGTGTATCTCTAAACCAAGGGAAAATAAAAAGATATTGAATGTAAACTATTAGTAATCCTTGGAACGTGTAGTACTCTAATGGCACCTTAAGAATCACTATACTAGATAGGTTGTTAATGTATGAAGACTATGTCCACGGCCTTATAAAAATAGCTATAAATCATAGGTTTCAGCCATAAAAAATGAATTGTCAACCATATGTTGTTAAAACTAGTTTTAAGATCTCAAAATACACCTAAGATTACCAACCTTGTAATAGAACTTTAGGACAAACCCAAGAAGAAGTGCAATTGGCATCCCAATCACGTAGAATGCTCCCAGGTTGGTCCATGCTGCTAGATGTTGCCAACCACATCCTCTTGCTACACCTGAATCAATTATTCACATGATTAGCAAGATATTAAAAATCAGTACTATCTATGGATTTCATTTCCTATCATAGTCACCTGATAGAATCCCCTGTGCCGAGTCTAGTAGTATGGAAATTGATAGTAGCGGGGTCATGTAGGCAAACTCCCTAATAATATCTGGGCTACTACTGAACAAGTTAGCCCATATATTATGACCGAAGACCAAAAAAAGGACAATTGTCAATGCAAGAATTACTGAGGGCTTCAATGTCACCCTAACTACATTCTTTGCCTTTTCCACATTTCCTGCCCCCAATTCATTTGCCACACGTGTGCTACAAAAGAGGGAAAAAATAAATTAGAATCGTAATTATGAATATAATTTATATTCATAATTATGAACAAGTTACTATGCGTACCTCACAGCAGCACTAAACCCATATGTAACATTGAACGACACAGCCTCTGTGTTAACACTGAAATCCACCAAAATATCAAGTTAATATTTATACAATATTGACTAATAAGTTTTATGATCTAACCTAATAGATGAAGACAGGTCATACCACATTGCAATTAGTGAGGTGCTCAGCTCTGAGCGGGGCATCAGACCAGCCAATAGCACCATAATTTCAAAAGCCCAGTATTCCAAGCTGCAAGAATAATATCACCAGTCAAACAAAATCATCCATTTTCATTAACAACTGTAATTTCTGCAATACATACCAATAATAACTTGTGGTGCAATAACTCCACACATAAAATAATTAATAATAAATATAATTTTTTGTTTGATTTTTATAAATATAAGATAAAAGAGGTAAAACCTTGAAGATATCTGTGGGTCTAAACCGGTTACAACTGTTGAAGCGGCTCATAATCTGAGATAAAATTGTTGCCTTTGGAATCAGGTAAAAAGTGAAACGATGTTTATATAAGTTCTATGTTTTCAGTGAGTAGAGCAATGAGCACGTACAAGGTGAAATATTGAAGAACCAAAGTAACTTTAAATTGGAAAATCCTGACACAATTGACCCGTCAGAAAGGAAGGAGATTCTATCTTCTTGGGATGACTGGCTAGTCTAACTATTAGGAATAAATCCTGAAGGCAACATGTGCGAGTGTGTGCGTGAGAGAGAGAGAGAGAGAGAGCGCGAGGGCATGGGAGTATACAGCTGACGGGATGGCCAACCGCATACTGGGAAGGACGTGCTCGAACGCCTCGGTCGAGAAGCCCTGCCAGGTCTCTGAGAATCTCTTCGAGTACTTCACATACGAGGCCAGCATCAGGAACGAAATCCACAGCGACACCGCCGCCGCCAAGGGGGCGCCGACGAACCCCATCCCTGCCGGGTGAACCAGCACGTAGGTGATCAGTACGTGCAGTGCCAGCGGCCCCACAGAGCACACGACGAGCGGCGCCACCGCGGACTGCGTCTGCAGGAACCTCAGCAGGCACTGGAGCAGCCCGTAAGCGAAGAGCGCCGGGATGAGCGGTCGCATGTACACGGCGGCGGCGTGCGCCACCGCCGGCTCCTGGCGGAGGGCGATGAGGATGGACTCCGAGAACCACCAGACGACGGCGAGGATGCAGGAGACGGCGATGGCGGTGATCATCGACGCCTGCAGGTAGATGCCCATAGTCCGGTACAGCTTGGCGCCGTAGGCATGCCCGCAGAGTGTCTCCAGTGCCCCGCTCCATTTTTTAAGAACGACCAGGTGTAAGGAGGAGGAGCAGAAGAAGAATAACAAGCTCCCCGAGGCCTTCCAACAGACCGTCTCCTGTGCCCCGCTCAGACCAATTGGGATGGCAATTTTCGTAAATAAAGTGGGCATTTTTTTGAAGGAGAAAAGAGTTTTTGAGAACGGGTTTGACTTCGGTAATGATGAAAGGGCCCGGCCCGGAAGAGTGGGCCCGTTTTTAACGCCACATGTTCAGCCCGAGGGGCGTTCGCCCGCCATTGGCGGATTCTCGGTCAATAGCACAACCTCCGGGCTTCTGTGGGATATTCGGGCCGGGCCGCGCAGCGCTGGCCCGACCTAATTATTTTTTTAATGAAAGAGACAGAAGGATCCCGGTTGTTTCGGAGAGGAGCTCATATCAACTGCTTTCAGAGAAACGTCATAGAGAGAGAGATGCCATAGAAACCTGACAGTAGATATTGGGGGGAGAGAGATCGTAGAGAGAGAGAGAGAGAGATGCCATAGAAACCAGACAGTAGAAATTGGCGGCAGAGAGATCGTAGAGAGAGAGAGATGGCGAGATAAAGCGCACGGATAAGCAGGGTGCAAGAGAGAGAGATCATAGGGTTAGAGAAATGACAAGATGAAGCGCACGATGAGAGGGAGTGATTCTAGAGAGAAGAGGGAAGTGATGAGGGATGGATCTTAGTTGGATGAAGTAAAAAGAGTCGAAAATTAAAGAGAGAGAGAGAGAGTTTGGACAGCTGGAGAATTGATGAGATCGTAGGGTTAGATGGATGACGAGATGAAGCGCACGGATAGAGGGAATGTTCGAGAGAGAAGATGGGAGTGATGAGGGATGGAGAAATATTATGTCTGATATAGTTTATATATATATATATATATATATATATATATAGAGAGAGAGAGAGAGAGAGAGGGAGAGAGAGGGAAGGAGAGAGGGAGGAAGATTAATGGGGGGGAGGGTCGTGGCCGAGGTCAACGCTGGTAGCAAGCGCTGCCTCAATGGTTCATCCATTTCCATCCTTAAGGGGAATGCATTCGTCACTCTCTTTCTCTCTCTACCGGTTCCTCTCCTCACATTCAGACATACACTTTCTTCTTCTTTCTTCTTTCTTCTCACTGGTCGCAATCCCCATATCTCGCCGGAGTCTAGAGAGAGAGAGGGGGAGAGCTTATCATCTCGAGCATTTATTGACATCGGGGGGTCAGGCACTGATTAATGGGGAGAGAGAGAGGGAAGAGACGGATATACAAATACACATTAGTATATGAAACAAACTATATCAGGCATAATATTTTAACATATCAAACTTAATACATCTCTGAATATTGAGTGTATCAAGCTTAATATGATGATACATGAAGAGATGAATTGTAAAACAAGGGATCATATCAACATTAATGTGGTGAGACAAGATGAGTTGTATTAGAGAATAGCGGACCATATCAAGCTAAACACAAGAATATAATAGTGATTGTGTTGCAAAATAAGGGATCATATCAATCTTAATGTGGCAGCGTGGGAGTTGAGGAAAAAAGGGCCACATCAAGTTTAATATGAGAATACAAGGGAGTTGTGTTGTAGAACAAAGGACCATATCAGGCTTAATATACCAAGAAATGAGAAGTTATGCTGTATTATGTTGCAATGCAACAATGCATATGATGTTTTTGTATAATGAATAACATTCTTCACAACAAGCTTAAATACCTCATTATTTGGAAATCATATAATAAAATTCAGGAAGTAAAATATGAATAAATATCTATATTTAACTTAATGTTTTGGAGCATAAGGATTATTTTGAAGCACAATCTCTTACTATTTTTAATTGAGGTTATGATACGTGTTATTATGTGAAGTTAAATACTTCAGTACATTAAGCATTTTTGAGGATATAAGAGGCATGGTAACATTTATACTTAAACTCTTACATCATGCAGTAGTTTCAGATCAACCTCATAAAATATTAAAAAAAGGAGCATAAAGCAATGTGAAAGTAAGTTATAAAGAAAAACTAGATTGAGTAATGGTACAAAAACTACCTATTTGATGTATGTTGGTTACCACTAGAGCAACACAAAATGTGGCCCTACTGATTGCTTTAAGATTTCAATAAATAAGAGAAAATTTAAAACTCAGAAATACTAGAGAAGAAATGGCTAGACTAAGTGCAGAAGTAAGTTTATAAAATCATTTGTTGGATATTTAGCCACATCTTAAACCAAGATGGGAGGGGATTAAATAGGTTGGATAAACTTGATTTAATCTTCTCATCTTGTATTTTCTTCCTTCACGTTTTCTAATTCTTCATCAGATCAATGATAGATGATGGGAAATTTTATGGCAGTTTGTTGTCATTAACTTAGCTCACTATCCAAGAACACTTTGTCCTTGAGTTTCACTGACCACTTAGTATTTAATTGCTAATTAAAGGGCTCATCTCTAAAATAGTTTTAGCAAAATTTCTTTCTAGATTTATGGTTCTTTAATGCACAATGGCTAGTAACAAAAATCAACTCATTTAAGTCACAATACTGAAAAGAATGTTCATTGATGAGTGGATTTTGGGCATGGGCACTCAAGCCAGTTGTTCTTGATTTGTTGATCCTCTTCTCATGTTAGATCTCTTTAAATTATCATGAATTCTCACTTCCTAACTTCTCATTTTCAAGTTCAACAGAACACTTCTCAGTCCCAACTTCTCTCATTTGTAGTTGCAAGTTCAGCTTTAAATTTTAGTCAAATTTCTTCTCATTGAATCTTACATCTATAAAGGTTTGATGTATAGATGTAATCTTGATCTAGTCTTTCATTTTTTTTCCTATATACTCAGGATTCCAATATAATACTCCCTTGGGCCTTTTGTATATTTTTTTATGTTTAAACAAATGAAAAAAAACCTTTAGGTTGCAAGTTCTATATCCAATGATAATGTGTCTATTAAGCCCAAAACTAGATCTTATAGACACAAAGGTAATTTGAGCAGAAATAGCTGCAAAAATAGAGAGATGCATACATCAGAAGGTCCAAAGGTTTTTGAATTAGTATTTTGAGTGTTGAAGGTCTGGTAAAATAGAGAAATGAGACAAATGAAGAGTTACATATAGGAGAAGAGATATGAATAAAAAACTAATCAAATACATGAAGATTAAATATTCTACATCAAGCTATTTGCATTATATCCATCAATGACAAATGAGAAAACTTCATCCCCTTCATTGACTAAATTTGATAACTGATCAAACTCATCTACTATGACCATTATTTTCCATCATCCTAAAATAAATAAATAGTAAGGATTTATTGAGTCACATGGTATTAGTAATCATATTTGGCAAAAGAGGGTCTAAGTCTCCATAGAAACAAACTTGTGTGGTTTGGGCCATTGGCACTTGATGATAGGTACCTCTAAGACCAAAAGTAGTTGGGGGAGAGGTAAACTAATAAAATAACATGGTATTATTTATGAGAAGAGTGTTGAGAAGTTTTACCACAACACATGTCAACACATCTATTGATACATATAAATAAAGATTAGGTAAAATTCTTAAAAACCCCAAGTCACCTCCCCTCTTGGTGTTTCAACTACTCTTACAATCCCAACAATTGGTATCAAAGTTTACCTAAAAAGTATGATATTAAAATATCTCAAATATGTATGTATTTTTGAACGAAATATGTATTTTTGAAAGTAGGGTTAGAATTTATATAATAGATCAAAGAATGAACCTATAGAGAATGATCCAAGATAGTCCACCAACTATATTAAAAGAGTTTATGGTTAAAATAACTATGATTCTTAATCCAAGAGTGATGAATATTTTATTTAGTGTGATGGAGGCCTTTGAGTTTAACCATGTGTTAACTTGTGGGATAACAAAACAAATTTAGGATAAGTTGCAAGTAACTTAAGAAGAAATTTCAAAAATGAAAGGACTCAAAATTGACATTTTGGTAAATAGATATGAATTAGTTAGAATGTAAGATAGTGAATCTATTTAAGACAGATTATAGAAGTAATAAACTTGTAAATGACATAAAAAAATTAGGAAAACCTTTTAACATATTGACTTAAATTGTAAAGTTCATGGATCCTTGACTGATGATAACATTGTTAAATTAATTGTCATTGAAGAATCAAAAATTTTAAGAACTACTCTTATTGATGATATTACTAATTATTTATTGACTTATGAGATTAATATGTCTATAAATAGAACATCTTTTCAAAAAATAAAAAGAATGTTGCATTTAAATCTGTAAAATAATGTAATAAAAAGATGAAATAATTTTTTCATCTAGAAAATTGAATTATTCGATCAACAAGAATAAAAACTACATGGCCAAGACAGGTACCAAAATGCTATTTGAAATATTTGATGATCTTTACTTTGAATTTAGGAAATTATGTCATTTTAAAGTTGATTGACTTCTACTAAAAAATCAATATAACCCTAGGTCTGGGGGACTCATTCTAATTGAAACAAGGGGTGGGACTCGAATTTCTAATCTATTTTGGTATCTCCCACCATTCCTCATTCCTCATTTTCTAAAGTTAAAGCCATGAGACTCTCCTTTAAAAGTGGGTTGCTTAGGAATGACATGATGGCGACCTAGAGCGAAAGCAATTCTAGCTTTGCTGATAAAAGATGAAGAAAGAGCAAATATGTGCTTAATGACAAAATCTTCAGAGGTATATGATTCTCACGTCTCATATTTATCTAAAGCAACATTACTTAAATAATTTGATAAATTAATATGTGAAATTAAAATTATTAGAAATAAGATGAAAAATCACACAAAGAGAAAATAAAACACTTAGCAAATCTGTTCAAATTCTGGAAAATGGAAATTAAAATCTAATGATTATCATTAAGAGAAAAGGATAGAGAACATGAGGACATACTCCTTAAAAATCATTCTTGCCTACAGTTTAAAGGATTGTTGAACACAAATTATAAAATTTTGATTGATTGATAGAAAAAAGAATTGTTGAACAATCAATCAAGACATTGATTGATTGATAGAAAAAAGAATTGTTGAACACAAATTATAAAATTTTGAGAGAACTAAGAACTAAAGATAAAGTTATTCGACTATTTAGGTATGAGTTGTACTATTTATAAGAATATAATTTCTAAATAGTTATAGAAACTAAAAAGTTAGGAAAGAAAAGAAAGACATAAATCCTAAATTATAACATCATAAAGAAAAGGATCTTAAGCAAGAAAATAAATTCTCTAATCTGAAATCATTTAATGAAAAAATTATGTGAGAATCAAAACCCATTAGATATGTAACTTGGAAGTCAAAAATTATTACTTTCAAGGAAAGGACTAGGGTTTAATCATAGATCAACTAAAACATATCTTAGAAATAAAATTAAACCTAAAACATGACATATATATCTACCTAAGGGTAATATGGTCAATCTCAAAGAAATCTGAGTTCTAAAACAAATTTTAAATTATTTTTTTTAGTGAGATCTAGTGGACAACTTCATGGTGGTACTTGGACAATGGATGCTCAAAGCATATACCAGAGAGTAAGAATGGCTCTATTTGTTCAAACTAATGAATGGAGGAGAGGTAGCATTCATAGATAATAATAAAGAGAGTATACTTGGGTACTAAGACATTTCTTTTGAAGATCACATTTTAGTTAAAAATATTTTATTCATAGATATTCTAAGACACAATCTAATTAATATAAGTTAATTATGTGAAAATGATATAAAGGAATAGTGATAGAGTAAGATATTTTTTTTATAACCTATAAATAAATGACTAGTATGAATATGTGTTTCATGATTGAAAAGGATGAATATTAGATAGATGTTTGACATAGAATAATTTGGCATGTGAATGTTAAAATAGTTAAAAGGCTGTTAAAATTTGACATGTTTAGAAGATTACTTAAATTTTTTAACATAAAGAATTACACATATGAGAGTTCCATTAGTTGAAAACAAAGTAGAAAAACATTCAAAACCAAGAATACATCTCATCAGATGAACTCACTTGATGTAGTTATATTTATTTGGTCCAAGTAAATTTTTTAGCTACTTTAAGGAAATATTATGTCTTAGTTACAATTGATCATTACTCTAGATACACTTGGATATTTTTTTAATTCTTAAGAATGAGTCATTAGATTACCTTACAAAATTTGAAAAGAAAAATCAAAAGAACTTGGTAAAATGATGAAAAATATTACAAATGATTATATCACTAAATTCGAGAATGTTAAATCCTGTAAATTCTATGATGAATTAGAAAATTTTCATTACTTCTCAACTCCAAAAACTCCTGAACAAAATAGAGTTGTAGAAGGAAAGAATAGGACATTAATAGACATCTCAAGAATGATGCTAGCTGAAAGTCATCTTTCTAAGTTTTTTTTAAGTGGCGTAATTTGTACATCATGTTATGGTCAATATAACTTTGATCAAATTTAGGGTTAAAGAAAACATCTAAGAAATTACTTTATAATAGATTCTAAATAATTCTCTCATATCATTTTGAGGTAAGTACTTTATTCTAAATAATGGGAGAGAAGAATGAGGAAATTTTGATCAATTGAGTGACAAAATATTCTCCCTTGAAAAGTTAAAAGCACATAGAATCTATCATTAAAGAAGTATAGCTGTTAAAGAATTTATTCATATGAAATTTACAGAATAACCTACAGCATAAGTGATCAATTCAAGTGAAATTGAAATAGTGAATTACTAGATATGATGGAAAATGAGAATCAAGAATGAAGAAATACCACAGCTAGATATTAACCCTAACTTCTCTAGGACTTGAAAATATACAAAGATTCATCCAAAAGAAAATGTCTTATGTCATTTAAATGGAAGGGTCAAAACTAGACTAGATTTTAACGAAAACATCCACCTAGTATTTACTTGTCAAATTGAACCTAAAAATGTGGAATGTACTCACAAATTGGATTCTCTCTCTTCTCTCTCTCTCTCTCTCTCTCTCTCTCTCTCTCTCTCTCTCTCTCTTTGTTGATCTCTTTCTATAGTGGATATTTATTACAAAGACATGGAACCATTTATATATATATATATATATTATGATGTGGTCCATGATTTACCACATGGTGTTGACCACCATTGGGGGCACCACTTGTGTGGTGGGTGGTTGTTGTACATTTGGACATAAGTCATAAATTGGCAAGTGAGAAAGCAACAAGGGGTGAAGAAAATGCAGAAAGTCATACAATACGTACAGAAGGAGTCAATGCAGAGCAAATGAGCGGCTGCACGAATACACACATGTATTAGGTACCCAAGGCTCCCAATGTTAATGAACACTCGAGTTTTCCTCTCCCTCTCTCTCTCTCTCTCTCCAGAGTTTGGCGTGAGATGGGGATTGGGACATAAGAGAAGGAAGAAGGAGACGAAGAAGAAGAAGAAGAAGAAGAAGAGAGTATGTGCTGAGGAGAGTGGGCATTTTCAGTAATAATATATTAAAAGTAACAGGTGATAACCCAGATTTCTGTATAGGCTTTTTAGTTTTAGGTCCCTCTCAATATTAAAATTCAAGAGTATACCACAAAGATGAAGAGGCTGATGTGGTGTGCATGATAGAGACCAAAGACTTTGAAGGGGGAGAGAGAGAGAGAGAGAGAAAGAGAGGGAGGGAGGGAGGGAGGGACCCACCAGAGAAGTAGGAGGATTGTGGGCCAGTCATAAGGTATAAAGATAAGTCGGTTTAGTCGGGAGTATCGAAGTTAATTAATCTCATAAAAGTTGAAGTGCATTCACTCCACCTCGTCCGATGGAGCGTCTGCAACTGTCCCTCTCCATGCTCAGAATCAGGGGCGCCTCTCTCTCTCTCTCTCTCTCTCTCTCTCTCTCTCTCTCTCTCTCTACCCGTAAGGATCCTCCCCACGTCCTTCCATCACCAAATTCAAAAACCACCACTCTCCCGCCCCCCCCCCGGGTTCTCTCTCTCTCTCTCTCCCTATCTATGGACATATATAGATGTATATCTGACTCTCTCTCTCTCTCTCGCTATCTCTTCTGTCTCTCAGTCTTCCCCTTCTCTTCTGTCACTCTGTTCAAGGAGGTCCAGGAGTACTCTGACAGGGCATGAAGGAACCAGGGAGAGCCGGCCACCGCCATTCCCCCATCCTCTCCTCCCCATTCTCGCCGGCCACTCCCCGTTTCGATGCTCCGCCGACCATCTCCCCGCGGCCACCCCGGAGGACTCCCGCGGGCAGAGCCTCCGCGGCCTCCTCGTCGAGAAAGCTGGCCGCTGGGATCTGGCGGCAGCAGGTCCAGCTGGAGAGATTCTCGCCGTGGGTAAGGTTTCCTCCGCTGAATTTCTGGATCTCTTCCCCGCTGGCATATTTCTAGGGCTTCCTGGTCCGGATTCTTTGCGCGTTAGATTACTCCCGGACTCCGATGGATTGTGAATCTGATGTAGTAAAACTCTGCAGAAGGAATTAGGGTTTATGAGGATAACCTTCCTGGCCTTTGATCATCTATTCTTCGAGAAACCATTGCTTCAGATGAAATTAGGGTTTTATAATCGCTTACCCTTCTCGCAGGCCGTCCATGGCCAACCGAGGCCCCCCTGCGTCTGCAAGCTCAAGAACTCACACATCCACGGTGATCCCGTTCCCAGTCTAAGCGGAGGCCTCCGGTTCAAGGTAGGTCAGCTCTTCGTCTTCCTCGTCTTCATTGCCAGAGAGTTCCCAGAGCTTCCAGTGACCTCCAACTCCATTGATCCGGCTTGTTTTGGATTCAGCACGAGCTGGCAAATTTTGCGATGGAGAGGGCCACGAGATGGGACACCGGGATCCCGGAATCTGAGCTCACGAGGCTCCTCGATCATCTGAATGTCGTCCCGGATGAACAGCCACATGGAAGGATGACATCGACGGCAGTAGATCTCCGAGACGAGCTCGATCAAGCTAGGGCGCGGGTGGCAGACCTCGAGGACGAGTGCGAGCTATGGCAGAAGAAGCTCAGCGACCTCTACGAGAAGGCCCTACGACGGAGGCGAAAGGAGGAGAAGCTTGCTGCAATGGCGGCTGATCTGGAGGGGGAGCTGAGGAGGGAGAGGAAGGACCGGCGGTGGCTGGAGGCGGAGAATATCAAGCTCGCCGGTGAGGTTGCGGCGGCGGAGGCATCTGCTTGGCGGCGCCTGCAGGATTACGAAGAGCAGAAGAAAGAGAGGGAGCTCATGGAGGAGGTCTGCAGGGAGCTGGTGGAGGAGGCCGACGGTGGCCGAGCAGAGATCGAGGTGCTGAAGAGGGAGGCCATGGAAATCCGCGGGGAGCTCGATTGGGAGAGGAGGATGTTGCAGGTGGCCGAGGATTGGCGTGAGGAGAGGGTCCAGATGAAGCTGATCGACGCGAAGCTCGCCATTGAAGTGCAGCGCTCCCAAGTCAGCAAGCTTCGGCCCATGTTGCAGAAGTTTTTGCGGGGAGAGGTGGTCTCTGTTGCAGAGGAAGAAGGTGATGACAATGGGGATGAGGACGATGGCGACAGCAGCTGGGAGGAGATGCTGAGTCGGTCTGAGGAGCTCGACTCGAGCATTCCCTCAATTGGAACAGAGGGGGAGGTGATGGCAGAAAGGTGACAGGGAAGGGGAGGATGATGGTGGTGATGGGTGTAGCTGGGTGGTGGCAATACTGCAAGAGGGAGCAAGGACTGCGCAATGGAAGGATTGCAGTGAAAATTGCTAAGGGAAGAGGATCTCTGGTTCAAGATGATGGGGAAGAAGATGACGATGTTGGCTACAGATGAAAGGTGTTGAGAATGAATTGCTAAGGGAGGACGATCTCTAATTCATGTGATCTCGGGTTCAAGATGATGGGGAAGAAGATGACGATGTTGGCTACAGATGAAAGGTGTTGAGAATGAATTGCTAAGGGAGGACGATCTCTGATTCATGTGATCTCGGGTTCAAGATGAGGAAGAAGCAGAAGATGTTGGCTGTAGATGGGCAGCCGGATGGGTGGTGAGAACTGCAATGGGCGGATCATTGATTCAAGGACGAAAACGTGAACTTTTGATGATTGCCTGAAGGCATCTTCCGATGATGTGATCGATTTCTATAACAGCAGTGAAGGAAAAACATGGGTTTGATCCACTGATTCATTGAGCTGTTCTAATACATGTTTGGGTAATCGAGATGATCATCACATGAATGGTAGGAGGATTACTAATGCTGAAAAAGACATAGCATTGCATCTGATGAGCTCTCCCAAGCGATGAACCCTAGAACATGAAGATCAGAGGTAATGAATAGGATCAAGCCCTGATATAGTAGTCAAAGAAACCTAGATTTACTGGATCATTGTACTGCTTGATTATTATGATAGCTGGTTGTCGCATGCTTCAAATCGCTGGAAGATTATTTGATAATCAGAGTGTAAGAAGATGGGATAGAACACAGATGTTAGAGGTAATCAGCAGTATCAAACACGTTGAACCCAGATTTAAATTCAGATTTGCCGAATCATTGAACTGTTTGATTATAATCAACATAACCATTACACGAATATCAGGCTTCTTTTTGCAGCAAGATTAGTGATGTTCAGATAGAAACAAGATGACAGGTGAGAGAGCACCCAAGAATGAACCGTTGACCATGGGGAATCAGAGGTAAACAAACAGCATCAAAAACTCTTTTGTTAAACCCAGATTTACTAAAGAGTTAGCTGTTCTGTTACGATCCAGATATTACCACATAAATAGCAAACTTCATATTTTACTGAACCCTAGAACATGGAGATCAGAGTGATAGATAAGATCAAACACGGATTGAGAAACAAAAGGATGACGAAACCCAGATTTACTGAATCACTGAACTGTTTGATTGTATTCGAGATGACCACCGTGTGAACAGCTGCTACAGATTGTGGCATGATTATTGATGTTCATAAGATTGTGTGATGAATGCTGCCCACTAATCTGTTTTATTTAGAGTCTTACTTCAGACATGGAGTGAAGAACAGCCTCACTGGCGCTCACTGTTTGGAGTTGATCAGATTCCGGATGACGAATGGAAGAATGCCACCGTGGTCAAAGTAGGCGAGCTCCACCTGTGATCAATCAAATTGCATAATTATTAACATGAGATGGTCAATAAAGTGGCGTTTTTTATCAATCTGAAGGCAAACCCATCTTGGCCATCAGAATCGTAAAGAATCATCCTTCTTTTATTTCCTTCTCAAGTACAAGTTTACCAAATCAACAGAGAGAGAGAGAGAGAGAGAGACTATTAACATGAGATGGTCAATAAAGTGCCTTTTTTTATCAATCTGAAGGCAACCCATCTTGTGCATCAGAATCTGAAAGAATCATCCTTCTTTTATCTCCTTAACTATCAAGTTTACCTCATTAAGAGAGAGAGCGAGAGAGAGAGAGAGAAAGAGAGAGAGTATTAACATGAGATGGACAATAAAATGGCTTTTTTTATCAATCTAAAGGCAACCCATCTTGTGCATCAGAATCTGAGAATCATCCTTCTTTCCCCTCTCAACTATCAAATTTAGCAGATTAAGGGAGAGAGAGAGAGAGAGAGAGAGAGAGAGGTTATCACATGAGATGGTCAACAAAGTGGCGTTTTTATCAATCTGAGACAACCCATCCTGTGCATCAAAAGCTGAAAGAATCATCCTCTTTTCCCCTCTCAACTATCAAGTTGACCGGATTAAGAGAGAGAGAGAGAGAGAGAGAGAGAGAGAGAGAGAGAGAGATGGTACCTCTGTGTCAAAGCGGGCTGTGCAGGTGAAGGATTTTCCATTGTCGGTCACGACAGCAACATCTTGACCCGGCCGGAGGTCCTTTACACTGCTCGGAAGGTCAATGGAGAACCGCTCATACCCAGTCAACCCGAGGGTTTCGGAGTCCTCACCGGGCTTGAAGCAGAGAGGGATGATGCCCATCCCCACCAGATTGCTCCGGTGGATCCTCTCAAAGCTCTTTGCAATGACCGCTTTGACTCCCTGCAAGGAGAAAGTTAGAGAGAGAGTGGGGAGGAGGATGGACGGAAAGTCAACGGGATGGGGCTCTGGCTGGCAGAAAGTCAAAAGAAGCTGGGATGGGGGACCCACCTGAAGCATTGGGCCCTTGGCTGCCCAGTCACGGGAGCTTCCACTCCCATACTCTGCTCCGGCCAGGATGATGGTGTCGTGGCCATCTTCCTTGTACCTCTGATAAAGTCAACGGAAAATAAGTAACCAACCACGGGGATAAAATAATACCGAAAAGGGATCCATCTAGAGAGGGACAATGCCTTTGACCAACGATTTCTTGGTTATTTTTAAGATAGTAAAATCTGATGAAAACTCAACCAGGTCATTGAGATCCAAATCCCACGCACCAAGCAATCTAAAAACACTAATGATTTATATTTTTGAGGAAAAAAATGAGTTTTCCTTGGATTAAATGCAACTAAACTTCCGAGGGATGGAGTTATAAACGTTGACCAAACTTTTCCTAGTTTTAGTAAGAAAACCTGATGAAAGAATCAGATAACTCAACCAGATCACCAAAACCCAGATCCCACGCACCAAACAATCTAAACGCAGTAATGATTTTTATGGTTTTCAGGAAAAAAAATGAGTTTTTATTGGATTAAAGTGTGAGAACTCCCGAAGGACGGAGTTATAAACGTTGACCAAACTTTTCCTAGTTTTTCGGAGAAAAACCCATAAAAGATTCAGAGAACTCAACCAGGTCCCTAAAACCCAAATCCCATGCACGAAACAATCTGAAAACAGTAATGATTTTTATCTTTGAGGAAAAAAAATGAGTTCTTTGGATTAAAATGCGAGTGAACTTCCACATAATGGATCTATAAATCCTGACCAAACTTTTCCTAGTATTCGTGAGAAAAACTCATAAAAGATTCAAAGAACTCATAAAAATGGAACATAGCATGGTCAATTGACCAACGATTTCCTAGTTTTTTCAATTACAGTAAAATTTGATAAAAATTCAATCAGGTCACTGAAAACCCAAATCCCACACATCAAAAAATCTAAAAAGAATGATTTATTTATTTTTGTAGCTTAAAAATGAGAGAAAACTTCACATAGGATGGATCTACAGATTCTGACCAAAATTTTCCTAGTTTTAGTAAAGACAATCTAATGAATGAAACCAAGATTCAAAGAACTCAAGAACACAAGAGCAAAAAGGAAGACATACCATGGCAGCATCGTACACGGGCAGCTTCTCCCCAGTGGGGATATGGATCGTCTTGGGGCCCACCTCCCCCTTCAGCAGCTTGTTGACCAAACGGATGTTGGCGAAGGTCCCCCTCGCCATCACCTCATCATTCCCACGGCGGCTACCATAGGAGTTGAAGCCCCTCTGGTCAACGCCCCGTTCAAGGAGGTACCTTGCTGCTGGGCTGTCCCTGTGGATGCTCCCTGCTGGGGAGATGTGGTCGGTGGTGATGCTGTCACCGAGGAGGAGCAGGCAGTAGGCGTCCCTCACGCCGTGAGGCCCAGGAGGGTCCATAGTCATGCCCTTGAAGTATGGTGGCTCGTGGATGTACGTTGACTGGGTGTCCCAAGAGTAGAGAGTTGACGATGGGATGGAGAGCTGGTTCCACATCGGGTTGCCTCTCGTGATCGCCTCATAGGTGCTCTTGAACATCTCAGGGAGGACACTGGATTGGACCACCTGCAAAGGGGAGGGAGCGGAATAAGTCAACTAGCTGGGAGAGATGTAAAGGGACCAAGTCAACTGTGTGGCAGTGCTGACTGACCGTGGCGATTTCCTCGTTTGATGGCCATATGTCCTTGAAATAGACGTCCTTCCCGTCTTTCCCTCTCCCAATGGGTTCCTTCTCAAAGTCAATGTCCACCTGGAATAGTTTTGGGGGTAAAAAATATGGGAAGTCAATGGGCTGACTCAAACGGTTGCTAAATTAAAGTCTTATTAAAACATTCAGCGAGACTGGCTGTCCTCAGAGAGGAGCCAGGGGAAAAAAAAAAACCGGCAAGAAATGACCCACATACAGGGTCAAAAACCCAGACAGTATGCCATCTTACTAAGAGCTTTTCAGTTTCTTCCTTATTTTGTCGGTTGACCAAATCGTTCTTGCCAATAAAAGTGGGATCTTTAGAACTCATCGCACTACACTCTTGACCACATAAAAATCATCCTCTAATCTGTTGCTTTTCCCGTTGGTCAAAAATAACTGATGATCTTATCTTAGTTCACACCAGGTGATGATGATTAAGGATGGAACAAGGTCACCGTTATAATCTCCTGCTCTCTTACTTAGTTTGACACTTGCTCAAATATGATTCAACGAAGCCCCCCAAAAAGGCAGTGCTTTTGGTCTTCCACTCTACAGGGTCAACACGCTTAATTCACAAGTCAACTCTACTGGGCACAAAAATGTAAGAGGCCATTGAAGACTGAAGTATCTTGGACTACTCACTGTGCCGGCGAGAGCATAGGCGACAACTAGAGGGGGTGAAGCCAGATAGTTAGCTCGAGTCAACGGATGCACACGGCCCTCAAAGTTTCGGTTACCGGAGAGCACAGCAGCAGCAACAATGTCTGCAAGCATTTCCAGTATAAATCAAATAGTACCATAAAAGGCCCCGGGAA